TGAACTTGAAGATTACCTTCTTTTTAGCTTTAGTGATGACTCGTTTTGGAAATGAGAGCTTGTCATAAGGAGATATCTCAGCTTTGACTCCAACTGGCTGCACAACCATTTCCTCAACCTTCTCTACAACCTGAGCATCAGCCTTGGCTACAATCTGTCTCTCATCTTGCACAAGGTCAGATTCATAGAAGAGTCATTCAATCTCATCTACTTCTTTCTCATGATCATTCAATTCCGTCTCGGAGATAGCAGCAGAGATGACAACATTTCAATGGTCTTTCCCTGAGCGCTTAGAGGTGGAAGTTAGAGAAGAAAACTGGTTCTCCAAAGCCCGGAACTTGTTGTTGAGGTCATTGTAACTCCCATCAATCTTGGCGTGAAGGTTCTTCAGCTTATAACCAACATGCTTTTCACTTCTAGTATGAGACTTCAAGATCTGTTTCAGAAGAGCATCAGTGCTAGTTTCCAGAGGAGTAGAGGTAGAAGGGTTAGCTTGTTGTTGAGAAGATTGGTTCCATTTGTTGGAGAAACCAGGAGGTGGATTTTTTTTAGGCTGATAGCTGTCTTGCTGGTTGTTTATAGGCTGGTATCCTCCTTGTGGGTAGTTGTTGTACCGAAAGTTAGGTTCCTTCTTGTACCAACTACCATTGTTGTTGATGAAACACATCTCTTCCTGGCCTTCTATACCGTCAACCTCATTGACCACATGTTGTGGTTCTTGGTTTGTGTTAGCAACAAAGTTCAGCTGCTCTTGAGTAACTTTTTCTGCAATGAGGATGTCTATCTTATCTTGTAGAGCCTTTAGCTCCTTCTTTGTTTGCTTTTCATCACCTATACTGCCTCTGTCGTGGTCTCCACTGTAGACTGCGTCACTCTTCACCATGTTGTCAACCAGCTCCTCTGCATCTCCTCAGATCTTCCCAAGAAGAACCCATTGCTAGCAGTATCCAATCTGGCTCTGTACTTAGGAAGAGCACCTCTGTAGAATGTACTTAGCAAACTTTCCTTTGAGAAACCATGGTGTGGGCATTGAGCTTCCTAGCTTTTGAATCTCTCCCAGACTTCACTGAATCCTTCCAAGCTCTTCTGTTGAAAACTGGAGATCTCATTCCTCAGCTTAGCATTTCTTGAAGTAGAGAAGAATTTCTCCAAGAATTCTCTCTAGCAGTCATCCAAGGTGGTGATGGAGTCGCTGGGTAGAGACTTCTCCCATTGACGTGCCTTATCCCCCAAAGAGAAGGGGAATAACTTAAGCTTGAATGCATCCTCGGACACACCATTGATTTTTGACAACCCACAGTAGCTGTCAAACTTTTCAAAGTGATCAAATGGGTCTTCAATAGGTAAGCCATGATATTTGTTGTTCTCGATCACGTTGAGGAGTCCTGGTTTGACCTCAAAGTTGTTGACGTCCACAGCCGGTGCTCGGATTCCCAACTTATTGCCATGAAGGTTTGGGCGGTTGTGGGTACCAATGGGGTGAGCTGGGCGCGGTGGGTGAACTGGCGGGTGTTGTACATGGTTGTTAACTCCTTGTGGTGGGTCTTCCATGTCAGTATCCAACCTATGTTGTTGAGCTTGTTGCTTTGTTTGTTTTCTATGTCTTGCTATCTCTCTTTCAAACGCCCGGTAATTTTGGACTCTTGAAACAAGGTTTGTTGTGCCTTTGCTCCTCAAGTTCATACACCTGAAATCCAAAGAGAGATGAAGATCAAGAATTAGTAACAAAATAAAAGAAAATTGACTTAGTTTCAAGCAAGTGACTAAATCTCAATGTTTAAATTTACTCAGAATGTGGCAACGGCGCCAATTTGAAGTTAGGACTTTTCAAAGCTTCTAAGACAAATGTTGTAGTATAAATGATTGTCGAACCAATTCTAAGGGATTTTAAAGCATTGAGAACGCAAGTACTCACTTAATCTAAGTGCAATCGAATAAATGATGTTTTTAAACTATAACTAAGAATAAGAAAAGGGATAATTAAAATAACTTTCTTTGATTAAGAGAAAGAAGACATTTAGAGTTTGGAAGAAGAAAATGAGGATTTTGTGTGATTTTCCTAAATATAATATTCATGTTAAAAAAGAGTGGTAATTGCTACAATGAGATTACATAATTTTAATCAAGATTTCAAATTATTGTGATGAAGATTTTTTTGAAAAAACGAGACACACAAATATGAGCAACGAAGGTTCGGAAAATGATCTAAATGACATGGAGACAACAAATAGCGTTGATGGAGATCCTATGACGAACATTAGAGATAATATTGCAGAAATGTTATGGATAAATCAAAATATTTTTTATTAAATTAATTTAATTGTTATGTATTGTATATGTTTTGAAATTTTGGTGTATTTTTTATTATTTATATATATGATTTACATTTTTGAACTGTTTTTCCTATTCACAATTATTTAATCTGCATGATATGCAACTCTCCTGTATGATCCGTTTGATCTGCTTTTACTACTCAAAGCCCTAATTTATCTCTCAAATATGATTACTACACAAATAAGCCCATTTATATCCCTTATATATGATCTGAGGAGCATTTTTAATAAATAACCTTGCCTTTGTGTGATTAACAAAACTGCCATTACTTATGTGGCAGCCTCACAAGCTCTCTCAGTCCATTTATAAATATAGCCATAATTTACTAGAGTATTTATAATTTAATGTCATTGGACCTATGTTTTTTTTATGTGAACTATAAGAAATCGTACTTATAAATTATTTGAATTAATAATTATATATAATATACAGTAATATGTTTTAAATATCACTCACAAAAAGACTTGTGAAGGGTGTTTCTACATTTTTATTAACCAAATTTATCAATTTCTTTGAGTAACAAAAGACCTAAATTTGCTGAAGATTTATCCCCACTGTGGTCTGGATAAACACATTTTCATATAGATCTTCATTCCAATATACAAATGAATAACTTCATTAATTCATAGATCGCAATCCATCACATAATCAACCACAAGACATTTTAGGTTCTGATTTTCATATAGGTATTCGTATAAATTTTTGGTTGAAGTCTTAACATGTTACATATGTATTCAAAGATTCATACGTAATAGCCACACATTGTCAAAAATACAATTGTTATGGTTAGGCCTGGGCATTCGGGTACCGGATCGGGTTCGGATCGGGTATTTCGGATATCGGATATTTTGGATATGGCAAAATAGGATCCAATCGGGTATTTCAAAATTTCGGATCGGATTCCGTTCGGTACCTGTCGGATCCGGATAGTTTCGGGTATATCCGAAGTAATCGAAAAAAATCCGGTTCCGGTTCGGATTCTCTTAATTTTACCTGATCATAACCAAAAATACTTGTTTCTAATCCGATTTACCCGAATCATTTAGAGTAAAAAATAAATGAGGGAATTCTAAAACCAAATAGAACAAGTCTTAAACAAATTTCAAACAAACAACAAATCTAATATTTCAATCAAAGACAACAACCCATCACTTTAAGAAGCTACGAAACTTAAAGAATAATTGAAAGTTCGAAATAAATCTATAAGAAAATGTATAAAAGAAGATCAACAACATTTGGTATATTGCTAAACGCATTTCACCTACTTTAAAAAAAGAGTACGATCACAAGAACTTCAAACATTTACAAGAGAAATACCATGTGAATCTATGTTTAATGCCTTAATGAGATAAGAGTCGGATACTTTCGGATAATTATTCGGATCTCGGGTAATACCCGATCCGATCTGGTACTCGAAACATAAATAAAAGCATATCTAATCGGGTATTTCGTCATATCCGGATCCGACCCAAAACCCGATTTTTCGGATCGGTACCGGTTCGGATCTTCGGATCCGGGAAATATGCCCAGGCCTAGTTATGGTTATGGTTGGTTTCGGGTTATTCCGATTAGATATTGAAGATTTTAAAATGCAAAGGGATAAGTGATGCAATAAAGGAATGTAGTAAAAGAGTGTTAAATACGTACAAAAGTTAAATTAATTTTGAGTAAATTTGAATTATTCGAAATTTTCATTGATTCTATGACCAGTTACAAGGAAAATTCAAAAACAAATCAATATTAACAAAATAGATCAAATATTTTACAATTAAATAATTCCACTTATTGTGATAATCATCCTAAAGTTCTAAAATCAAATATATTTTTTGAGTATTACATAAATCAATATAATTTTGTTAAATATATCATATAACTATAAAATAAAAAATTTAAAATTTCTTGAGTATATTTCGTGTATATATATCAAGTTTCATGATAGGTCATCGTTGAAAAAAATTATAAATAAAAAGGTATAAGACCACATACTATAATAAAAACATCCTATAATATAAGTTAGTTTGTGAAAAAAAAATAAATAATAATAAATAAATAATTTGTATAATCTTCATTCCACGCAATGCGCAGACATTTTAAAATCGTTTAGATTTAATCAAGAATATGTAAAACCTATGATAATTTTAATAAAATTATGAGTGAATTGGGTAGAAATCCTTAACAAAATGAGAAATTAGGGATTTGCCATATTTTGTGGGGAAAGTAGTGATGTGTGGGGAGGAGAGATAAAGGAAGAAATAGGGTATGGAGTGAATTATGATATAAAGTTTATGTGTAGAGTGCAAATACTCTTAAATTATTAGTGTGAAAAATCTTTTTCCCCCAAAATATTAAATGTAAATATTTAATATTATAAAAAAAAATCATGCAATAATTACATAATTAAATAAAAATATATCTTAGTTCATGCAAATATAATTTAATATATGTAAAATATGATAATAATTTAAAAAGAAACGGTTACACTCTGTGCACGGCGAGGATTATCACTTAGTAAAAAATTAAAGAAAAAAGAAAAAAAAAAAAAAAAAGTAAATAGAAAGAGCTGGTAAAGAGTAAAACCCCAGCGAGGAGAAGAAGCGGCGCATAAACCTTCCCCCGATTTTCTTTTTATTTTCAACCCTTTCGATTTCTTTTTTTCCACTCGCGACCGGATCTTCCCGAAACTTTTGAGATCGTCGCAAGTTTATATCAATTTGAGCCTTCCACTATTTCTGGATTGGCAGTCTCTTGAAATTTTATTATTCTTTTTCGTCTTTCTGTTCTTAGCATTCTTGAGAGAAGTCCAATTATTGAAAGTCTGCAGCTTTTTTTTACTCTATTATTATTATATACTTTAGGAACGAACACTGTCATGGGTCTTTGGACCAAATCCATGTCGTAGCTAAGGCATCTTGATTACTACGAGTACGAGTGAGTATTAATTGAAACTGGAATTAGAAAATAGTCACATTTTGCTTACTAGCTTCTGATGTTGATTTTGTGTATGTTTAGGTTTGTGAGATAAGCAAAATGGCTTCTGCGAAAGGCCCTTTTAAAAAGGGTCAACCTTCGATTAAGCATAGTTGCAACTTCGGTGAGGCTAAAAGGAAGCTTTCAAAGATGAGTGATCATGAACATGTTGAGTATCCATATGCTCCCTCCCAGAGGCACAACCACAGCAAACGAGGAGAGACTAAGTTGAGTCAAATACTGAGCAGAGATGCGCTTGTATCAGCAGTTGACTTGATCTGGGATCGCTCCGATTCTGTTTCTACTGATTTGTTCAGCTCACTGAAGGAACCAAATTTAGACAGAGACCAAGTCACTAAGTTCAATGTCTCGGCTGAGTCTCAGCTGGTTAGAGTTCCTGAGAAGATGTGCTATGATCAAAACTATAAGCAATCTTTCTTTAGTGGAGCCAAACGTAACGGTTTTCTCTTGGAGGCTAGCTGGATGGAAACTATTACTAGGCTTTATACTGACATTGAGAAGAAAGAATGTTTTCAAGACTGTATTTTCAATCTAGACATAACTTCAGGAAACGCCAATAGCTGTGCAGAGGAGGAGGGACACTCCACTTCAGTTGAATCTCTATTAACAAGCACCACACAATCATCCAGATCTATGGATGTGAACTCTCTCTTTATACTTTACAAAGATAGGTGTGCTAATAACAGAGGAGTGAACTTTATAAGTTCGAAACATAGCAGCACGGACTGCCCTTCTAAGATTTCTTCTTGTTCAGGGAATGATCCACACAAAGACAGCTTATCTATGCCTGAGGGAGATAGAAAAGACCAAGAGAATGAAGCTTGTTCGTCCTCTACGGAAACGCCTACTTACGCCTTTGCTAAACATCGGCATGCTTTTGCTGGGGCGTTGGCTGGTGTCAGCGTCAGTCTTTGTCTTCATCCACTTGATACTGTCAAGACATTGATTCAGTCATGCCGCTTGCAGGAGAAGTCTCTATGCTTTACCGGGAGATCAATTATATCTGAAAGAGGTACAACCATTTTTACTTGAGATGAGTTATCACTGTGCCTTTGTTGGTTAATATGATTATGTATGTGTTCAGGTGTTTCTGGACTTTATCGGGGGATTGCTAGCAACATTGCCTCATCAGCTCCTATCTCTGCCCTTTATACATTCACCTATGAATCAGTTAAAGGAGCTATGCTCCCTGTTTTTCCCAAGGTCTGTTTTACACGTCTTACTCTTATTTCTTCCCTGGCCTGTTGAGTTGAATTATGCAAATTCATAATTCTAATTCCTTGTGATTTCAGGAATATTGCTCTCTTGCCCACTGTGTAGCCGGGGGTTCCGCAAGCGTTGCAACTTCTTTCATTTTCACGCCAAGTGAGCGTATAAAACAGCAAATGCAAGTCAGTTCGCATTATCGTAATTGCTGGTAAACTTTACAAGCTTTAGTCTAACTTTTGCTTACTGCATTATATACTTCCTTGTTTACTTATCTCTAGCTTAAGAAAGGATTCATACCTTCTGTTCCAAAACATGGTATGTTAATATAGGACTGCATTAGTTGGAATCATCCAGAAAGGTGGTCTACTTTCTCTATATGCTGGATGGAGTGCAGTGCTATGCCGAAATATCCCGCACTCGATCATTAAGGTTTTCTTTTGCTCTAACTAGTAGCAGTCTTTGAACTTGATTTCCACACTCTTTTGCTATTCTACCTCGCTGCTTGAATACAATTCTGATGCCAAAGTTATTGGAAACGCAGTTCTATGTTTATGAAAACATGAAGCGAATGGTATTACCATCCCTTGGTCCTGGTGATCAAGCGGCTCAACCAACAACACTGCAAACGGTTTGTAGTTTCTCTGCTTGGATCCACAATAGCCTGTACTAAGATTCTCTATATCACTTATCTAATAACTGGGATGCATTTCTATATCTTAACAGCTCATCTGTGGAGGACTAGCGGGATCTGCTGCTGCCTTTTTCACAACCCCATTTGATGTAGTGAAAACAAGATTGCAAACTCAGGTTCGTTTCTCTGACCAAACTTTTCAAGGAACAGCATTTGAAGTTATCGCCAACATATAACTTATCCTATGCCAGCAGATTCCTGGATCTAAGACCCAACATCCTAGTGTGTATCAAGCTCTTCAATCAATAAGGAAACAAGAAGGTCCACGAGGGCTATACAGGTCTTACTCATTTTTCACTAATCTTATCTCCCATGTCCTGGTGCTTGTATCATCCACGCTTCTGTTAGTTTTACTAGAATAATCTTCTCTAATTGTATTTTGCAGAGGTTTGATCCCCAGACTGGTGATGTACATGTCCCAAGGAGCTATATTCTTTGCCTCATATGAATTTTACAAGAGTATACTCTCTCTAGAAGATCTGTCAGCTCGCTGGCACAAAACAAATGATGGAGATAACCCTAACCCATTATAGGACAAGGATAGTTAAAGACTGCATCACGTGTAATTCATACCATTTTTGGGCTATGTAACTATTGTTTTGATGAAAATTCATTTTGTGCATAGTACTTTTTGACCGGATAGTTAAAGACTGCAGCACGTGTAATTCATACCAATTTTGGGCTATGTGACTATTGTTTTGATGAAAATTCATTTGTGCAAAGTACTTTTTGACCGGAGAGAAAAAAAGGAAGATCTCATTATTCACTACAAGTTACAAAACTTTTTCTGAAAGATCTACCAAATCTAATATGAGAACTCTAACCAAATTGGGCAACTCCCGTTTGCTACCTTATAGTATATGAACAATGTAGCTTTTTCTTTTGCATAGATCCTACTAGGAAGAATGAATAAATGACACAACAATTAACGTGACACATTTCTCAGGAGACCGGAGACCAGAGAACATCCCATCTTTAAGTTCTAGCTTGTCTGCACTTTGTCAGGGAGCTGGAGACCAACCTTCTCTTCTCTTCTTACTGCCAATCTTATGTATCTGCAATGATGACAGCATCAGAAACTACACTCGAGAGATTGGCGAGAAAGGAGGGTTAGGCATGTAGGATTGAAGAGCGATCACAGCTTCTTTCACAGGATTATGGACTTTCTGTTCTCCGTCCTCTGTTACTGCTTCAACTAAAAACTGAACATCATCATCAATCAACATTTTCAGTGAGTTGCAGTGTGAGAACAGTTGTACATTCTCGCCATTTCTGTAACTATCCGAGACTTCCGTGTTATGTAATATAGCAACACAAGTGGAAAATGCTTGCAAAGTTGATAACTGCGCATGGAAGTGAACATCGTATTGCCCCTCCTCAGCAGACGACATGTACAATGCTGGTATATGCTCTTTAGCACCCTACAAAAAGAGAACAAGAGTTCGTTATATAAGTCGTCAATAGTTACTCATACAAGTCCCAAGTAAGCAGTTCCTGAAACATACCTGAACAAATAGTTGCAAAGGATGATGATTGTCCACAAGAGGCTGATCATGAGAACATGAGATTCTAGGATTACCCAAAACCATAAGTGGACAGGCCATGTCCCAACCACCACAGTCACAACCACCTCCTGACCTCCATCTCTGAATCAATGGGGAAGGACCGGGGTTTTCGGTAGTTGGTAGCCCATGGTTGCCTCTTGGGATTACAACTTTCAACTTCTCTGAACTTCTGCTGCTAAACAAATCCTTTTTCTCCTCTTCTATTGGAGAAAGACCAAGAAGATTTGTTTTCTCCATCAACCTTTTGTCACCTCTTCTGTACTTTAAGCTCTCTCTCTTCTCAATGGTGTCTTGAATAATTATAGCCGCAATCTCAAGGTCAGGATGCAAATCTGCAGCTGACCATGGGCTTGTACCATTTGAAGCCTCTAGATCATAGCTTTGGGATGTACGTTTTGTCTGAGATCTCTGCTTCATTGTATCAGAAGCATCCCTGGACAATGTACTGTTTCTTGAATCTGAATCAGGTTTATCAAGAGGTAGTGACTGATCTTCTTTTGTGGAGACACTCCTTCTCGCTTGTGCAATATCATACAAAACAAACTCGTTAACCATCAAAGTCTCTGGATCTTGTCCCTTTTTTCTTACTTCTGAGCAAATGTTACATGAAACTTGCATCTGAGCCACCAGCAAAGGCTCTTTGTTAACATCGTTCAAACCCCTCACACTAGCACTGCTCCTCTTTTTGCTTCCAGCAGATGAAAATGTATAAACCCAACTAGAACCATTGTCTGATTTCCACGTCTTTGCGGTGTAAACATCCTCTGGAGAATCTGACACAAACTGAAAAACAGGCAACCCATGTTTGCTTTCTACTTTTAGACGGCAATGTAGATGAACCGGGGAAGATTTTAGCACCAACGTATAATCCTTATTGACAGCTGGAGGAGGACACATAGTAAATCTTTTATGATTGTTTGAGTAGTCACTCAACATAGATTTGCAACGCTCATTGTTCTTCCCCAGCTTTTCTGCTTCTCCTAAATACCCAAGAGGACTTCTCAGAGACTTTGACTTAACAAATGGATCAAGCATTTTCCTAACTCTTGAGCTATCCTTATTGCAAGTGGCTTCTGATGAAGATACTGAATCTACTTGTGGCTTAGGCAATCTAGTATTATGGTCATTACATTGGTTCGTTGGACCGGCTAAATCCTCTTCTGAATCCAACACCACTGCTCTATCTTTAATACCTGATTTTAAACAAATGTCAATGAAGTTGCCAGAGGTGTAAGGTTCAGCTGATGACTTCTGTCCACCTGAAATCTCCTTCTTGGTTTTTTTTTTCTCTGTACTTGCCTTTCTTGATGAATCAACAACTCTAAAAGAGAAAGAAGCATCACTAGTACGAGACAGCTCAAGTTTTGCTTCTGAGTCTTTACGGCCCTGAGGATCTCTAAGCTCTTTAAATTTTTTATTGGAGCTTTGATACACAGAACCTCGCCTTTGCTCCGTTATATTATCCGACATTGCAAGAGGCTTTGAAGAAAAGTTCTTACAGGATGTGCTGCGGTAGCGCCTGAAGCTTATCTCGGTGAAGCCTTCTTTGACTCTCAATATCTCATCCCTACGTGGCGGCTTCAGCCTTGTACTCTTCTTCTCTGCTTCAGTAAGAACACTGTTGGGGCTATGTTCCATATCAATTCCTTTACCAAGTTTCATTTCCATTTCAATCACCTCATCAAAACATCTGAAAGAAAAAACATTAAAATTCAATGAATAAAGCTTAGTCCTCCTTACTCAAGAATTTAACAGAGAAATATTGGAATCAAAACATAAACAACAAAGCATGGATGAAGGAAGCTAAATTCAATCTCAAGCATTTACCAAAAAGACTAACATAATAGTTTGCCAAGAGCATTAATCAGTGTCCAAAAAATGCAATGACTCCAGCTTCAAAATGTTCCAATTTAGAGCTCCTACTTAAATACCAGTAGCTCTAACAAGAATAACTGGCTAATCTATACTATGCTTAATCTCCAAAAACACAAAGTAAACATGCAAAAATCAAATAATCTCTATCTACCCAATGTAGATCTAGATAGGCTGAATAGAGCAAAATATATAACAAGAAAACAAAATCCATCAAGTGAGCAGATTGGATTACCCAATAAAAATCTAATTCGAGTGTGAAAATGAACCTAAGAAAATACCAAAATAACGGTCAAAGAAGAGAACCAAAACAAATAGCTACAAAACTAGCATCTAGCAGAAGAAGCAAAAAGAGGCCAACTTAACAGATAGAGAGAATAATAATAAAAAGGGATCTAAGAAACAAAAAGCATGCCTGAGTTAGAGTGAGAAAGAGAGTGTGTAAATCTCGAACATTTCTTCATAGTTTCACTCATAGACATGGAGAAGAGGAAGAAGTAAAAGGGCAAGGAGAGATCGCAAAACAACAATGACGTCAATAGGATGAATAGATCATGTTCTTGTAATGTAAACAAAAAGAAAAAGCAATCAATTAGTTTTCTTCCTCAAGGCATCATTTTGTTTCTTTTTCTCCCTCTTCGTAGCACTCTTTGGTGTGCAAAAATCACTTTCAATCTCTATCTCTCTCTCTGTACTTTTGCTTTTAGCTTTAGTTGTTGTCGGCTTCTTTTTTCACTTCATTTATCAGACACAGGTTTTATTTCCTCTTCAATGAAGTGAAGTGAGTGACGTAATACAATCTTGCCCCTTTGTCAGAAAGCTGTCGCTAAAATATATAAGGGCAGTTACGTCATTTGCGATTATTAATCGGTGAGAGATTTGAGGGAAACTTTTATTAAACTAACTGGACTATAATAAAGTACCATTACTTGTTTCTCGGGAAGTTCATGTGGGATTCCTATCCCTAATTAAAATCTTTAGACTATGTGTTTCCTCCACTTCAAAAAAAAAAAAAGGACTTTTAGTTTATTTATCTTCAGAAAGAGTATTAAATAATGTGGGATTTATATGGGTGGTTGTACTTAGATTTAAAATTTAAGGAGATATTTAAATACTACATGTACATGCTAACAGTAGCTCGTAACTATAATGGGCTGCATCGTAATTGGGAAAACCCCACTTTTGACCAACCTTTCAACTTTTTAGTCCAAATAGGTAAAAGACAAATATAATTGATTGGTTGGCCTTCAGAATTATGAATTCATAATCTAGGTGAAATCTATTATATTGGGCCGTCAGACATACCCATATACAAGGCGAGTTTAATGGGTTAAGTCCAGTTTCATTCGGGACAAAAAAACACGTTGAACTGCTTGAGTAATTTAAATAGTGAAAGGCTCAGGTAACTTTAAAATATATCTCTACTATTATTTACAAAGTGATTTTTCGCAACGGAGCTCTCATGTTAAAAGTTAGAGTGGTTAATATCGTTTATACCCTTAATGAATAAATATATAAATCATCCAATAATAAAAATGAATTTAATATTTATTTGATTAGATACATGATTTAAATTACTAACAATGATAAGAATTATCCATAATTTAAATATATATTTAAAAATAAAAAAGATAACTCCTATATATATTGTGTTGTTATCCAAAAAATATATTTAGTCAAAAAATTCAAAAACAGAAAACACATAAATAAATATTCATAACGTAAAATTTTTAATTGTATATAACTGAAAATAGAAAATAAACAAAAATTATAATACGTAATTATTTTCAAATTAAAAGAGTATAATAATATATATAATGATATATATTTGTGAAGTTATTTTCGCCTCTGGACTCACACGTTAAATTAATCATAATAAAATAAAAGATCATTCAAAAAGAAAGAAAATATGTATTTGGCAAAAATAAATTTTAAATATATTGTATTATTATCCAAACTAATATTATTCTTTCTGTAAGATCAATTTTGAATGTATATTTCTTGATTCAATTTTTCCAATTGAAAGATAAATTTCTATATTTTTATCAATTAAGAAGAAAGGAAATAGACTAGATTTTTAAAGCTTAAAAGGAAGAAGTAGATTTATTTTAATTTGTGAATAACTTTATCATGTAAAAGAAGTTTAATATTTTAGGTTAAATTTTTTGGATGCAAATAATCATTTATTTAGATGATTTTTTAAATTGATTTAAAGATAATTAAGTCCGCATGTATGGGCAAAACACCTAGTTTCAAATATATATGGATTTCTTTAGTTGACAAAAAAATATATGGATTTTTTGTCTGGTTAATTAGAAAAATTAGAAAATAATCTTATCCAAATTAAACATTTGAATGTAAATAACAAATGAGAAAAGAAACACTACTTCTACAAAATCCGCGAAATATAGAAATCACATTTTTGACCAAAACTAAAAATATATTCTTACGTTAAATTTGAAAAAATACATTATATGCCAAAATTAAGAAATCTCACTAACGTTTAAAATATGAGAAATTATTTTCTTTTATCAAAATTGTAAAATTATATTTCCGCCAAAACCCTAGATATCGCTTTTTCTGTCTAAACCATCAAATTACACTTTTGGCAACCTTTTGAAATCTCATTTTTCACAAAAACACAAATTTACCTTTTCCATTAAAATCAGACAATGAATTTTTTCACCAAAAATACATGTGTTGTTATTGGGACTCCATAGATAACACAGTTGGTTGTTGTGTTATTTGAGTTTGGTCTTATTTGAACTTGGATCGTCAATGTCCAAACAAATCAAAAGTAAATGTTATCTTGAACATCTCATATTACATCACTTAAATATATTATTTTGGAAAAAAATATAGCAAGTGTTATTATAATTACGTATAAAACTGAAATAAAACAATGGTGAATTTGAAAGTTAATAATTTTGATAATAATATATTAATCGGAAAATTTCAACATTTTAATTGAAGCTCATAAATTACTATTTGTTTATAAAACGCGAGATTCTTTTAACAACATTTAGTTTCTAATTTTTAGTTGTTTTAGATAATATTATAGATGTGAAAATTCAATATATGTTAACAACTTTATTTGTTATATAAATTTATTATATAGTTTGTTAATTTTAACCCATATCGACATGGAATGATGTTTTATATATTTGTTAGTTTAAATGGATATGACTTGTTATTTATGAAAATAAACTAAATTATTCTGTCAATTTTATATAATCTTTCATATTTAGTTTCATGTAGTGATTCTATTATAACACAATAGACTATGATTATAAATTTATAAAAAAACAAATTATAATAAAACAGAATGGATATTACTTTAAAATAAAATAATTTATTACTAACTAAAGTTATGAATTAATTTATAAAATATTTTTATTTTACTAAGATTTAGTTATAGTATTCTAATATACTAAAATATAATTATGAGATACTATACCAAAATAAAATATATTATGAATAAATTAGTTAGAATTTGATTTAACATTATCATACTTAATGCATATCAAAAATTCAATGTTTTGTAAATAATGCGTGAGACAAATCAGACAAAAGTTTATTTCATATAGGGATTCCATTTTATTATAAAACAAGAGATTAACCTGTGTGTTTATTTCATATAGGGATTTCATTTTATTTTAAAACAAGAGATTAACCCGTGTACACGGGTGTTTTTTTAATAGAAGAGATATATGAAATTCTTTATAACAAAAAATGTAATGGTTTCAAAACATACGCCTGTATGAGTGTTTGTTTGATTTCTAATATATATTCATTTTGTTTCAATTTACTTATCGTTGTAGAGAAAAAAAAATTGTTTTAAATTAAGTGTCATTTTATAATTTTAATACAAAAAATATTAATTTTATATACTATTCTATTTTTTATTGGTTGAAATGTGATTATGTGTATAGGTAATTCTGTTTTATCTAGAAAATATATAAATTATTTTTTTCTTAATCTGTGTGTATAAATTTAAAATGACAACTAAAATGAAACAGAGAGAGTAATATTTTTGATAGATCAATGGTTTTCAAACGTCTATAATTTTGTTAATTACTTATTTTATGGTTGGATATTAAACCAATCAAAATTATATCTTATATACATATTCATCAATTAATTAATTTTAAATACATTAACCTTTGATGTATTTATTTATAAATTAAAACATCAATTAGAATTTTTTATGTATATTAATAAATTTATGTTTCCAACATAAACTATTTTATGTCAAATAAAATTTATTTTTAATAAGCTAGATTGATATGCTTGTAAGTATTTTATATGCCAAGTAACTTCTGTTTTGATGTTTATTTTTGATGAAAATATTTAACTGAAATTTATATGAAGTATTTTTGTAACTCAAATATATCATTATACTAATCATCCAATTATTTAATATATATTTGAAAAAATTATATGTTTTAATAAAATAATTATAATTTATATTTCTATGTGAAATGAAATAATAATATACACGAATATATTACATTAAGTTTGTATGTCACGTTTAAATATATTTTTTTAATTTTACTGTACAAAATGGTTAGTATTAATTTGGTTGAAGAATATTAGTAAGTGTGGTTAGCAAACAATCTAATAAACTAAATTATTTTTGGTTAACTAATTAATCTATTATGTTAAAACAGATTCACAAAAAGATTTACTATACAAAAGTTAGTATAATTAATTTCATTAATTAGTTAATATGAATGATTTAATTATATATCTTAAATATATATATATATATATATATAACATTTCTAGAATATCAAATAGAATATCCCATACTAAAACAATAATCATCCATCTATTCTGTTAATTTAGATTTTTATTTTAAAGTTACATTGTTATTTACTAATTATGCATTTATATACTCATTAAATAACTCATTAAGGATACATTAGTATTGTTGAAATTTGGTCACACTATATGAATAGGGACTAACACGATTTTGGTTCGAATACTATAAGTACGGGTTATTGGTTGTGGCATTTTATTGGATTTAAAAAAAAATTCTAGATTTGGAAATCTTTGATAAATCCATTGATTCTATATATTATATATCTGGAAGTGTATTTCATAAGAATTCAGATGGATGTCAAAATCAAATACGTAGATTATTAGAAATTAGCCGTCTGTTTATTCTCCTTGGGAACAAGATGGATGTCAATGTACTCAAAAGTGAGTTTCGTAAAAGTTGAAATTGGAAAAGTAAATGATGATTCGAGCTAAAATAACCAAAATTGTGGTGGTTGGCTCAAGCTTTTCCATTGGCTGCTGCTACAGCTGGTGGGTTAAGCTCATCCCAAGCTTCAATCCATGTGACCATGGCATCTGCAAGCTTTTCAAAGTATGGTCTAAGGAGCTGAGCTTCTCTTTCACCATCTTTAAGAGCTCAATGTAGCATTTTTGATAAGTTTCTTGGACTTTCAACTTAAAACCAATTGAGAATTAGTTGATTGATCCAAGTCCCTTATATATTACTTAAGTCCTTTACATTCCGATGTGGAATCTTTATCCTAACACTCTCCTTCAAGATAATGGTGATTATAACCATTAATCTCGACATTCCATCATACCTACTCCGAGAAAATGCTCTTTCTTAGCAATCTCGGTGAAACTAAACCTTCTATGGGCCATCAGCTCATAGAATGATCGGAATACTTTTCGGGCGGATTAATGGATCAGGGTGTAGGCCCGCTCTGATACCGTGATAAGTTTCTTGGGCTTCCAACTTAAAACCAATTGACAATTAGTTGATTGGCTTAAGTCTCTTATATATTACTCAACTCTCTTACATATTTCCGATGTGGGATCTTTATCCTAACAATTGTTGAACAATTGTTGCTTCTTTCGATAGCTTAATGTTCTCGAAGAAAGGAATGATATCTTCATGCCAGAAGATTACCTTGTATTCATTTTTCAGGTCACAAACGGGTTGCTCGCTCTGCTGGGGTAAATGTATGGCCAACGTATCCGCACTCCCAAGTCCAGTGGTCACAGATCACCTAGATTCATCCCATAAAATCATGAGTAAGAGTATGAGCTACATAAACATTACAAAGGAAAGGAGAAAGTGAGTATCTTGAGGCACCAACCAGCCCACATATCATCGTAGCGACCAATAGGCTGACCATCACCCATGAGACCAAAGTACACAGCTGGTCCAATCAAATCACGGCCGAAAGCCAAGTGCATTAGATGCCGTTAATACCACGGTCGAAAGCCAAGTACAAAATAATCTTGCACAGTTTGATAATCAGAGGGATGTCAAAATCAAATTTGTCGACTCATTAACCGCGAAGTCCTTTCTGTTTATTCTTCTTTTTGCACTTGACAAATTTTGAGTTTTGCAATGTAGATAGTTGATGATTTGCTTAAGAAGGATGAAAGCACTGATATTTTGAAAAGACAGTCAAACACTACAGAGGTTACAAAGACAGCAGAAAATCTAAACTTGAAAATTGTATATATTTTATTAAAATAGAAGTACCAATATAAATTACCCCTTAGATTTACAAGTTATTTACAATTCAATGTCATTGAATTATTAAACGAACCTATATTTAAGTTATCTTTGTCTTTTCTAAAATTAATGAAGTAATAATTACTCATAATTCTATGAATTTCATGTCTTTTCCAAAATTAATAAATATTTCCTAAATTGAATTCACAATAAATTTGGTATAAATTTTTCAACTTACATATTACATATCAATAATATAAACATTAATACCATAAATAATATAAACAAAATATTTATGTAATAATATAAGTTACATTTGTCTCATTATCCCCCCACCAGTCATGATACTTTCTTTTTTTAAAACAAATTAATTTTCACCAATATAAATATATGACATGTGCCACTATAATTATTTACCAACTGAACATGTAAATAATTTATTATATATTACCATAAAACTTTGATACTCAAAAAATAAAATAAAAAATAAAACATTTGTGATCATATTATAGAAATGATGGTGATACAGTTGATGGTTTACAAGACAAAATAAAATCAATGAATATAAACTATAAAATTACTACGTTTGTAGGTGTCATTATTAAATAATTACTTAACACGAGTAAATTTTGAAAATAAATAATATCACTTAAAATATTTATACATAAAAAATAAAAAATATCCACACAGACATGATTTAAATATACACAAACCTAAATCCATTTATAATTTCTTATCAGTTACATTAAATTTAAATCTTAATTTTTATATTTTACAAATTTAGTAGAAGTTTAACAATCATTTTATTTTCTTACAAATGTTATAGCTAATATATCATTTATAATTAGCATGCTAATTCATAATTTTCTATTTTCAAACTTTTCATTTAAAAAAAATTATTTACTATATATATTTGATATGAATCTAATTATATAAATGTTGGATTTGGTTATTTGATACTTTATATCAGTGATATATTTTACTCTAAAATACAAATAAATTATAAAAATAAGTACGACTATAAATTTTAATTTAAAATACAGCTATATAAGATTAAATACAAATACAAACAAAAATATAAAATTTAATTTCCGTGCGGTCACACTAGTAAAGGTCTAGTTTAGATTTATTTAACATATAATTTTATGCACATCTTTAATGGAAGTAGAGACATTGCTAAAAAAAAAGCTAACCTTATATTCAACACGTTGTTGTATGAGTGGATCCGCTCATATTCCTGCTATTCAGGAAATCATGAGGAAGTAAACTAGGAAATAACCTAATGTCACAGTGAATCTTGAATGCGGTTTTATCTCTAGGTGGTGTGGTTCGTTCTCGTGCCATGTAATACAATCTTCTTCTTCTTTTTTTTTTAATATAGGGTGTTATTGGTTTATATATTTTAATAGATTTGAAAATACAAGTTAAATCTATATTGTTATTAGATCTATAATTTTAAAATATATGTTCAAATTCATTGTTATTAGTTCTATGATTTTAAAATCTATATTCAAATTCATTGTTATTAGTTTTATGATTTCAAAATAGATTGTGAATTCAGGTTTTATTCAATAATAATTATTTGTTTAAGGATTTGATTTAAACTTGGATTTGAATGAATTTGAGAGTGATTTTAAAAAGCAATATAATTATTGGTTTTTCTAATATTTCTTCAGCACCAATACCATATGTGTATTGCATATGTTAATTATAAAAAGCACTAACAAGACTTTTGTTAAACGGTAGTCTTGAAAAATTTTCCATTAGAAAAACATCAAGCACTCACACGTTTGAAAGTTTTCTATTTGTTTAATTTTCCAATTTCTACATTTTCCTAACTAAAACAATAGTTTTCTATTTTCTTTAGTAATGGTCCATCATAATGTATATATAATCTCTATTATACATTAGAAAATTAACACAAGAAACAAGAATTTGAAACCCCTAAAAACGCCAATGGAAGAATTACAACAAGAACAAGAAAACACATATTGTAGTTTATATATTTAAACCGAAATCAATTTGATTGATTTATGATAATTGAGTTATTTTGATTTTGAAATCAATGTATTGATTCTGAAATATACATATTTGATTTCAAAATCTATGAATATATCAAAAATTCTAAATCCAAAAAAAAATATCTAAATTCAATAAAATACAGCTAATAACCCCTACTAAAATTTGAAAAAAAAACCCCAATAATACAAATCCATTAAAAATAACAAGGTTCATCTTTAATACTCCCTCCGTTTCCGATTAAATGTCATTTTAGAGTAAAATTTTCGTTTCAAAATAAATGTCGTTTTATAATTTCAATGAAAAATTTATTGATTTTAAATGTCATTCTATTTTTCATCGGTTGAAAAGTGGTTATGTGTATAGGTAATTGTGTTTTCATTTTGAAAATATGTAAAATTAATTATTTTCTTAATCTGTGTGCAAAAACTTAAAATGACAACTAAACGGAAACGGAGGGAGTATTTCTTTCTTTGTATTTTGATCTTTAAAACACTCACAAATCCATCAAAATATATTTTTAAATCAAGTCTTTACACAATCCTTGTAATTGAATAATACTTGATTTAAAAATTTATTTTAAAATCACAAAACCAATAACACTAGATTTGAATATAGATTTTAAAATCATAAAATCAATAACAATATATTTGATTTGGATTTTGAAATCAATAAAAATATTCAAACCAATAACACCCCTAAAATGTACTTACATTTTTGGTTTAAATTAAAAGCTAGCCGAGCTATTCATAACCAACACAATCATTCAATTTAAATGCTAGCATTCATTCGTAAATATACCATCATTCACTCATCATGACATTACACAATCTATTTTGCGCATCTCCCATAGGTGCCTAAGTGCCCTAGTAAAACGACACCCTCACCGTACGTAGCATCTTTTGAATTCGCTCATTCGGATATCGGAAAATTTTAGAGTCTCCAGATTCGGATCTGTATCTTCCGGATATCGAAGTCCTGAACCTGATATCCGCCTATAAATTGATATCTGCAGCTATACAAATTCAGATCCGGATCCATAAAAATAAATAAAAAATATTTTTAAAATACAAAAATTCTCAAAATAATACATATATTAAATATTTATACAAATTTTATAAATATATTTATGACATATAATATTATAAGATTAAATTTTATGTATAAATATTAATATATCAATATAATTATTAATAAAATTAAAAACTAATATGTTTTTCAATTATAATATATGAATTCAGATTCGGTTTGGATGGACCCGAGATTTTACTATCCGGATTCGGGCACTCCGGATATCTTATTTTCGGAATGAATCCAGAGCGAATCTCGGATCGAATCTAGATTCCGGATAATAAGTCTCCGTCCTACCTGCGTGAGATTACGCACGCCTTTTTTTGAAAAGAAATCCGGATTCTTTCCGAAAACACTTGAGAAGTACAAAATTACCAAGAAACATTCACGGAGTACATGGTAAGCCAAATCTCTCGCACCTACAAAAAATTCTTATACAGGATAAAAAAAACCATGTTCGCGCCTAGTTTTAACTGGGAATAAGCCAGGCCTTCGTGCATCCGGTGCTGTTTGTTATACATTAATAAACAAAAGTCTTGGCAAATACTATTTCAAGTACAAACATAGCAGTCCAAAAATAATCAAAATATAAAAACAAAAACATCTTGCCAACAAAACTGAAACAATAAAAGCAATTAAGAAGACCAATTCATTGGATAAAGCCCTCTCAGGCACATTGGATTAAAATAGTCCTGGGTACTTCAGGTATACAAGATAGAAGAAAAACAAAATAAAAAGGCCATGAAAGGCCTACTCCCAAACCTGAGCATCCACACGGAGATTGAGGAAACGTTCAATCCAAACTGATCCATGATGAAAGACTCCTCGGCGGTCATCGCATCAGTCGTCTCTTGATCAGCATGAGGATCTTCAGCTTGGTTCTCACAAGACTGGCCATGATTCTCAGCTTGAACAAACCCAGTCCCGACCTCCCCATTATCAATAGGCTCCAGCCCAAGAATTGATGCCAACAAGAGACTAATGCAGCTAGAGCCACCAGAGTCCCTCTCTGGATCCAATCAGTTGATTTCTGTAAATCCTTGAGATACTTTGCCCATGTCTCTCGATCTGCCTCAACTTGCAATATGCCTCGCTGATAGCTCGTCGATTAGACCAGTTCAGGAAACATCTAGGACATCAACAAGTTTTCTTCTAAACGGCCTTAGAGTCAACTAGAGCTCGTATAACCTTGTCAAAATGCGGCTTGTACTTTACTACCACATCCCAAAAATCTCCATTCTCCGGCCTGCGGATCTCCTTTGTCTTCGACGCAATCAGTCTCTGGAGCTCCTCCTCATGAGCACACTGCACCAGCGTGAGCAAACTACCAAGCTGCTCTTTCAACCGAAATACATCTGCTAGATCCTTTATGAGGTTGGCCTCACACTTCTCAGCCGTGATCCTTGCCTCTTCCCCCACCCACTTCACTCCTTCTAAGCAAGTGTGAAGACCAGATTCTGAAGTTTCAAGCTCCTTGCTCTTCTCATCTTTGGTCTTCTAGATGGCCACAAATTGCTTGAGCTTGCCAGTAGACACCTTATGGTTCTTGTCACGCTCTGACTTCAATTCATTTTTACACTGAAGGGCTTCCTTTCCGACCATGGCCATCTTTCCCCGAGCTTCTCTGATCTTGTACTCATAGAAAGAACGGTTCCTGTCACCCAAACTATAAGCTATCAACTAGAAAAATATAGCACTAAAGACACAAAGAAACAGTCGCCTTACCAAAACTAAAAAAATCAAGAAAAATAAATTATCAAGGCATTAGTTTGGCAAACACCCATATAGATTTCATTTCCAGCTAACATCTGCTCTGGGAAACTAAGATCACCGGCTAGACGAATCTCACAGTGAAGACACACGCATACTCTATCACCAATAACTTCGGCAAAGATCTCCTGGGAACTGTAGGAGGTGGGGAAGCATCAGAAGAGGTGGCATCAATGCTGTAGCCGCCAAAGCAGGCTCACCAGCCTCAGTATGTCCAGAATTCTCCATGGGGAGCTTCAAGGAACACAATCTCCAATGAATATTTGAGACTTGCAACCTCAGAAGGAGTCGTCATACCACCGATAGCCTCGAGAACAGCCTCCCGATCTGTCATGTCAAGAGCCGACCTTTCAGCCACTGCATCCCGAGCAGCCTTGGCCTTCTCGTCTCTTCTCTTGGCGGAGTCGGCTACCTTCTGGACAAGATTGAGAATGGTAAAATTTGGACGCACTATGACTAAATAATAACTAAAACCAGAAAAAAGACTTCTGAGGTCGAGACATAAGAAAGGAAGCCGAAATAAAGAACGAGAAACTCACCAAAAAGTCTATATGAAAGGCAAAAGCTTCACTGGAACAAACTACAAAAAGAAAACGTACGATAAGCAATATAGTAGCTAACATCATAATATCAAAATATCTTCATTAATCATAATGAGAGTACAATGTTAACTATATATACAGTTGAATAATTAACTACTCTAACTACTCATTTACACGTATACAAGTGTTATATACACTAATAGTCCCCCTCAAGATGGCGTTAGAAGCTGATGAAAACCCATCTTGGACATAAGCTTGTGAAACATAGTAGGATAGAGAGCTTTGGTGAAAGGATCCGCGAACTGGCTTTCTGAGCGAACATGCAGCGTTTTGATCTGACCAGTAACACGTCTTTCACGAACTGAGTGACAATCTATTATTGCTGCAGTGAAGGGCTGCAGTACTATCACAGTATAGAACATGTACCGTCGGCTCAGACACCTCCAAATCATTCACCATCCGAGAAAGCCAAAGAACTTCCTTAGTTGTATAAGCCATAGAACGATATTCTGCCTCTGCAGATGAATGAGAAACCACATCATGTTTCTTTGGTTTCCATGAAACCAAAATGTTACCAATGAAGATGCAGAACCCTGAGATTGAATGTCTCGAATCAGGACATTGTGACCAATCTGAATCACAGAATGCCTTGACTTGAAAGTCATCAACAACCAGGTATAAAAGAGGTTGACCAATGGTTCCTTTGAGATAATGAAGAACCTTGTGAGCAGCTTTAAGATGAGGAAGCCGAGGAGCTGAGGAGTATTGACATAGCTTATGAACTTCAAAGCATATATATGGTCGCGTGATGGTTAGATATAACAATTTCCCAATCAAATGTCTGTAACTCTCAGCATTCAGAATGAGTTCACCTTCTACATATGAAAGTTAAATGCTAGGATTCATAGGAACCGATGAAGGACGACAATCAAGTAAACCAGCATTAGTGAGAAGATCAAAGATATACTTATGTTGACATAGAAGATATCCCTGAAGAAGACCGAGCAATCTCGACACCGAGAAAGTTTTGTGGTTTATCAATGTCTCGGAGTTAGAAGCAAGTATATAGTTGAGTGATCATCATGGAGATAGAAGTCTCTGTATTGCTGGCAATGAGAATGTTGTCAACATAGACGAGCACCAAAAGAAACTTGTCAGCTGAATGAGACCATCTATCCATTTATCTAATTTCCTTCCTCTATACGTAATCATAAAATCCGTATTCGTATTTCTTAGTGGTTTTTGAGATCCATCATTCTTCTCAGTTAATACTAGTTTCTTATAATCGCTTCACATACAAAATTTTGAGGTTATCTTTATACACTGAATTTTATATTTGGATTTTCTCATGGGTAATGCGTATCTTTGTGGCTCAAGTGAGCTTTTGAAGAAACATGATCTGAACCAAATGGTCAAACGAAAAAAAAAAATCATGCAATACAAATTTCTTGGCTTTCTATTAAGGATCCATTTGTAATGTAGTTTGTTTGTCCACCTTTACTCTTTACGCGTTGTGTCAAATATAAAATGAAATAATTTGTACAACTAAGACTTGTTATAGTGATTTTTTATTTTAAGATAAATTTTGGAACCTCTAGGTTTACCAACCAATAGAATTACATTATTTCATATTCACTATCTTCTTAAAAAAATAAACAAAGTATTATCGAGTTATATTATGTTTTTAAAATTAAAAAATAAAAGTAAATAAATAATAATAGTAGTTGCAAACAAAAAAAAAATTTCAAAAAAATTTTTGATACCGTCAACAAAACACTAAACCTTAAATCATAATTGTAAACCCTAACTCTTGAGTAAATCCTCAATCCTTAGATTAATCTTAAACTCTATGATTTATGATTAATCCAAGGTTTTAGAGTTTATCCAAGGGTTTAGGATTTAGATTTATGATTAGGGTTTAATATTTTACTGATGATACTAGAAATATTTTTAAAAAAGTCAAAGATTTATCCAAGGGTTTAAGGTTTACAGAAGGGTTTTAAGATTTAGAATTTAAGGTTTAGTGTTTTGATAATAGTATTAAAAAAATTTAAATTTTTTTTGCAACTACTATTATTTTTAAAATATATTTTTATCTTTAAATTTTAAAAATATAATATAACTCGACAATATTTTTTTTCCTTTTTTTAAAAAGATACTAAATATAAAATAACGTAATTTTATTGGTTGGTGAACCTAGAGATAGAGATGGACACTTTACCCGATACCGAACTCGTACCTGAACCCGACCCAAAATATCTGAACCGAAGTCCGAGCGAAAGTAGCAAAATGCACGAACGGGTATTGAGTCAGGAGAGTTCAGATATCTGAACCCGAACGAGTAATCCCCGAACCTGAACGGGTATCCAAAGATAACCAAACATATGTATATACCTATTTATTCCTAGTTTATTTGTCTCATTTATTAAAAATATTTATATTAATGTTATATATAGTTTAAGATAAGTTAATATACATATAATTGTAAAAAAATGATTTATTATTCATTTAAAATGTATATTAAGCTTCTTATTTCATGTTTTAACAAAATTAGCATCCGAAATTCGAAAATAACAACCTAAATAATGATTTTATTTTAATAATTTATATTCAAATTTATTAATCGTCTAAATTATTAAACAGTTAAAAAACAGTTAAGTTAATAGTTAAATTTTAAATACATGAAACTTAAGTATGAAGAATTTTAAAATTTTCTTTGAAAATTTAAATATCCGAACCCGACGCGAAAGAACCGAATCCGAACTAAAAATATCCGAACCCGACTCGATATGTAAAAATATCCGAATGGGTCCTAAACCCCAACACCAAAATACCCGACCTGAACCCGAACGGGTACCTGAACGCCCATCCCTACCTAGAGGTTTGCCCTAGAAGGTGAACCGGAGAATTATTCATATTAAAATAAGAATAATTCTTGGGTTCATCCCCAGGGGTGAACATTCAGGTTCACCAACCAATAAGATTACATTATTTTATATTCATTATCTTTTAAAAAAAGAAGCAAAATATTGTTGAATTATATTATGTAAAATTTAAAGATAAAAATAAATAAAAACTAATAGTAGTTGCAAAAAAAAAAATTAATACTATTATTCAAACACTAAACCCTAAATCTTAAACCTTAACCCTTATGTAAACCCTAAATCCTTGACTTTTTAAAAAAAAATATTTTTAATACCGTCAGCAAAACACTAAATCCTAAACCCTTGAGTAAACTTTAAACCCTTGGATTAATCATAAATCTTAGGGTTTAATATTAATCCAAAAATTAAGGATTTACCAAAGAGTTTAGGGTTTAGAATTTGGGGGTTAGGGTTTAGAGCTATGCTGATGGTATTAAAAATATTATTTTTAAAAGTTTTTGTTTAGAACTACTATTATTTTTTCATTTATTTAATTTTTAATTTTAAAAACATAATATAATTCGATAGTATTTTGTTTTCTTTTTATAAAAAATCTGAATATGAAATACTATTATTTTGTGAATTTCTAAGTTCACCCAAGAATTTCTAAGTTTAATATGACCCAGAGAGTCGCCTTAAGAGGTAGTAATGGTCCTGGGACTAGTTCATAGAGGGTTAGTTAAAAATCATTAGGAAAAACAACTAAACTATAAATAATTCACCACACTTATTCATCAAGTCTTTCCACCAACACGCTGTACAGCACTTTCAGCGGTCAAACTTGTTCTTCGTCTCTTTCAACAAGTTGTCATTGTTTATTTTATTCTCCATTTATATATGTAAGTTAGTCTACACTCAAATCACTCATCTTGTTTGTTCAGACACGAAAGCAACTCACTCTATATCCTTTCGGAAAAAAATGCGTCTCTCATTGGTCTTATTGCTTCTCCCCGTGAGCTTAGCTGTCGTCTCTGCGCAGTTTTGCTTGGAAAATTTTGGAACTTTTAGACCAGGTAGTAATTTTGACAAGAACCGTCAACTTATCCTCTCGTCTCTTGCATCTGAAGTCACAAGTAATGATGGTTTGTTCAACGGTTCCATTGGGAAAGATCCTGACCAAGTGTATGCCATGGGGATGTGTATCCCAGGAGCTAAACAAGAGATTTGCTCGGATTGTATCAAGGCCGCGTCTGACCAGTTAATACAGAGTTGTCCCAACCAGGCAGCAGCATTTTATTGGTCAGGTGCAGGTGAAACTCTATGTATGGCACGCTACTCTAGCGAGCCGTCTTTTAGACCGTTGGATATGGATTCACCTTCTTATGGTGCTAACATTGGAAATCTCAGCACAAACTTAACATATTTTGATGAGTTACTGGAGCGATTATCAGTTCGTATGGTAACTGAAGTTTCATCATCAGGCAAGAATGTACCAGTCTCAAGCAGTAGATTCTATGCAGCTGATGTAGCAGCCTTGACAAGCTCTATAAATGTATACGCATTAATGCAATGCACCCCAGACGTCTCTCCCTCCAACTGTAACACCTGTTTACGACAAAGTATTGATGACTATGTGGATTGCTGTCGTGGGAAACAAGGCGGCTATGTGTATTGGCCTAATTGCATTTTCCGGTGGGATCTGTACCCCTACAATGGCGCCTTTGATCATATTAAGTTAGTGCCTCAGCCCACATCTCAGCCCACATCTCAGCCCGCATCTCAGCCCGCATCTCAGCTGCAGTCCCCACCTCCCCTGACCAACAAAGGTAAGTGTACTACTTTTATAACCAATACACATGACACCTCTAAGAATATGTTATTTTTGGCTTTGCACAGATGGGAAAACGATTGGTAATGGAGCTATCATAGGAATCGTCCTTGCTACGCTTATAATAATACTTGCTCTGCTTGCTCTAGGGGTTGCTTTTTGCAGGAGTAGACAAAAATACAAAGCTTTTTCCTCGGAAAGTGAGTTCCTCTTTCATGTTTTCTTTCTCTATCACTTGGTGATTGTTTTTTTTTTTTTTTTGACGCTTTGGACTATTTTCCATCTTCGCATTTTTTGTACAGCTGCAGATGATATTGCCACTGCAGGATATCTTCAGTTTGATATCAAAGAAATCGAAGCTGCAACAAGTAACTTTTTGGCCACTAACAAAATCGGTCAAGGAGGATTCGGCGTAGTTTACAAGGCATTTTCTCATGAACTACGTACTCAAGTTGTTTGTTAGTAGCTAGACAGACAGGTTATGCATGAACATATTGAGATGGATACTTATGTAATTGACAGGGTACGCTCCCAAATGGAACTGAAGTTGCAGTCAAGAGGTTGTCGAGAAATTCTGATCAAGGTGAAATGGAGTTCAAGAACGAGGTGCTTCTTGTAGCAAAGCTTCAGCATCGAAATCTCGTAAGGCTTCTTGGGTTTTCTCTGCAAGGAGAAGAAAAGATACTTGTCTACGAGTTTGTTCCCAACAAGAGCCTCGATTATTTCCTTTTTGGTAATAAACAACACATCAAGGATACTTTTCCTCTTCATCCAATGTTTTTGAAACCTTAGTTGTTGATCTCTTAGTCTAATGTTGCAAATGGATATGTAGACCCAACAAAGAAGGGTCAGCTTGATTGGACAAGACGGTACAACATCATTGGAGGGATCACGCGAGGGATTCTTTATCTTCATCAAGACTCAAGGCTAACCATTATACACCGTGACATTAAAGCAAGTAACATTCTATTAGATGCCGATATGAATCCCAAAATAGCTGATTTTGGAATGGCTAGAAATTTCAGAGATCATCAAACTGAAGCCAATACAGGAAGAGTCGTTGGAACCTTGTTAGTATAGTCTTTAAAAACTGAATCTTCACGAGCCCCTTTTTGTTGCTGAATAGTATAAGTATATATATATATATATTTTTTTTTCTGCATATGTTTGTAGCGGTTACATGTCTCCAGAGTATGTGACACATGGCCTATTCTCTACCAAGTCTGATGTCTATAGCTTCGGAGTATTGATTCTGGAAATTGTTAGTGGCAAAAAGAATAGCAGCTTTTACCAGAGGAATTCAGTTTGCAATTTGGTGACATATGTGAGCACAACTCAAACCTCTTTCTCAAAACTTTGACTGTTTGTTTTTCCTTAACTGTGATAATGATTCTGAATATGAGTTTCCTGGCAGGGTTGGAAGCTTTGGAATAGTGATTCGGCTTTAGAACTCATTGACCCCACGGTTGGGGAAAACTATGAGAAAGATGAGGTTTTTAGATGCATCCATATCGGACTATTATGTGTCCAAGAAGCTCCTTCAGATCGTCCAGCCATGTCAACAGTCTTTCAGATGCTTACCAATAGCTCCATTATTTTACCTGTGCCTCGACCACCTGGATTTTTCTTTAGGAACAAACCCAATTTAGACCCTTTAACATATGGATCTGAGCCGGGTGAATCCAGCAGTAAGTCTGTTCCTTGTTCAATCAACGATGCAACTATCACTGCTGTCACTCCTCGTTGAAAACTCTTTGCATTTTCACTCTGTAGTATAACCCTACATTTTCTTCCTTGTTATCACCCTACATTTTCCGTGTTGCTCACGCAACTCCAGTTTGTCAAAGTCCATATAAAGAAATCGAGGATTCAGTTATTCCTGTATCTGATGTGCAAAGTCTATTAGGTTACGAAACTTTAATTTCATAAATTGTTAAGAATTTTCTTATATATCAGGTTGACTTGTTAAATAATAACATACTTGAGCAACCTAAATAAGCAAAATTCAAAAATTTTAACAAATATATTAGGCCCTTTCTCAAAAAAAAAGAAGAAGCAAATATATGTTACCAAAATTGTTTTTTTTTGTTGCCTAAAATTGTAAGTGAAATGTTACCAAAATGTTATGGTAACCAAACTAGACTATTATCGACCGTGACCCGGTTCACTAAACCATTTGGTTTTTTTTTTCTATTATTGTTAATCATAAATCCTATCCAACTTTTTTACCTTACATAACTGTGTAACATATGCTTGTCTTTCGTCCTCTTTACAAATGTCAGCCACTGTTTGGAAGCAGGTTTTACTCTGCTTCAGATCCGGTCTGAGATCTCTATCCAGACATAACAAAACTTCAAATTAAGCTTCATTAAGACCCAAAAAAGAACAATAGACCCATGAAAGCAGTGGGAAAATCTAAGACAAATGGAGACAATGACTAAGATTTGTGACAAAAGAATCCACAACAGAGTAAGTACTTTGCTGGCAATGAGGGAGTGTAAATATGAAGGATTTCTTAGATTTTTCATAGATTTCGGTTTGTAAGTAGATAAAGTGATTTTATGTATCTATAATAGTAGAAGAGAAAATGATTCCATAAAACAACGATGCATTTGATGTAAACAAAGGTTTTTGATGAATCTAATTTTAAATTCATTAAAAAGGTCAAGACCCATGAAGAATTGAGAATGTCTCACACACTGAGTTCGACGAGTCAAATCAAAATGTAAAGGAATCAAAAATATTAAATACCACCTTAAATTTGCTTGATCCACGCTGGAGATCATGTTACCGTTATGATTCGAATTCGAAGACCTATAAAAGAAAGAGGAGAGACCAAGAAGGGAGAGATCCAATCTTCTACATAGCTAAACTATAGTCTCAAAACATTCATACCTCTTGTTCTTAGACATCATATGTATTCATTTCTTGTTCTTGACCTCATCATTAATAGAGCATACATTTTCGATAGTTAATCATAGCTCAGGTTCCCTCTTTTAGATAACTCTTTAGACAAGTCACTAAAAACGCAAACCTTATTTCTGACTAAATTTTAGGATTCAACATTTAGTGCTATAAGGAAGGGGAGATTCAGCAAAAATCCCTCTAGATATCCAATAGACGGAACTAACGTGAACCTAAACATCTCCAAACGGATCTAATCAGGTCAACCTAGATGGCGTGCAAACCAGCCCGCACCTAGACGCCCATGGAAACCCAAACAATCAGCAGACTGATTCTCATCAGGTTGGTCTCAATGGACTTCCCATCATTCCACTACCGCCATGGTTAACCCAGTTATCCGAAAATTTATGTAAAGTTTTTTTTTTTTTATTCAACGTGCAGGTTAGCAGGATATTGCTGGGCAGCAGGCTCTGCGTCGGACCTAAGCCGAGTTTTGAATGGTACTATCCCAGGTTCACCAACTTAGCTCCTGAAGTGGATAAGGTTATTGAGGAGGCCCAGAGAAGGTCATTCACAGATCAGATCACTAGCATTCCTATCCCAAATGTTAAACTAAAGATCCCACTTTATGAAGAAAAATCGAGGATTGTTGTGAGAGTCATTGGTGTCCACTCAAGGCCAGTGCCTTGTCCGGGGCCGTACCAAAATTAGTGCTGGATAGAACGTGAATACACGTGTGATAGAGTTAGCTATCCTTGACCGTGTGGCTGCATGATGATGCGGCAAGTGTGTGATCCGGGCCATCAACTTTTTAGACTTTGTGTCTAGAGTCAATAGGAACATGAAGGGATGTTGGATGGAATTTGTATCAAGATTGGAACCAATGACAAGAGGCACGTCTTGATGATTAATGATGATCTAACCACCCCTGTAGGGTGGATGAGTTGATTACTTTATTTTCGCATTGCATATTACATGAGATAATTGATCCTTATTGCATGATGATTATACATATTGGAGGAGGGAATTATTAAACTATTAGGGAACCTTGAATCGCTAAGCAAATTAATTTCTCATTACACTCATAGTTTTGCAGAAAATCATAGGGATATTTTGGGTTACGACAGAGCAATGCTTCTGGCGTAATGTTTGTGCCTTTTTCAAAAGAGTATATATTGTCATATGTAATAAGTTTGAAAATGTTGCAGCTTATATATGTTTGATGTTGGTTGAATCTAAGTATTATATGAATAATAAAAGTTTGTGAAAATAGTTGGGTTCTATATGATATTAGTCCTAGTCCGGGACGAACCAACTAATGGTTTTAAACTCAGATTGAAAAACATTTACTTGGAACCACTATGAAACATATTTAAGACATTTGACCTTGGGATTTCAAATTTGATCTGAGAACCTCTGGTCGAATGTTTTGACAAGGGTAGTAGCATCTTTGATCTGGATAAACATCTTTACATCGCTGTACATTTTGATTGGTGTACGTCAAACTAATCAACTTTGACTAATTCGGATCGAAGGTGTTACAGATCTCTTATACTACCATCGATCGAAATAGCGGAACAACTAAAAAAAATAAGTGATGTTAGAAAGTCGTATGATATGTGATAATTATCTTGTACGGTTCCGGGGGGGGGGGGGTAGGGTAATCAGCGTATTCCGGTACAAATCTTTTGCTCTATCAAGTATACAAGGAATTGAAGGTAATGTTCTACCAGTCATGAATTGAAGGGTTTGTTTGGCAGCTAAAGAAGTATGAGAAAAATGGAGCTGCTGCTTAATCATCTCTTCTCTTCTATAGTTGGATGGGAATTCCTTGGCACAACTGGGCAGCTAAGCAGCATTGACTTGTATTCAGAATCATATACATAATAGGCTGGTTTAGATGCATTCTAACCGGCTAGTTCTAAATTTCGTAACTTCAAGAGAAATAATAGGTAGGGATGAAATGATTTTACCTATAACATTTTGTACACAAAATAAACACAATGTCAAGTATGCATTCAATTGGTTTAAAGTGTCATTGTAGTCCGTTTTTATCTTGTTTTTCACATCCTTATTTTTTTTATATCACATAACAAACATGTATATAATTTTTAAAAATTATTTACTAAAATAAAATTTTATCAATTTCATATTTACATAAAAGGTATTTCCATTTCAAATGTGCACAAATGAAAAAAATGACTGATATAACATTATTAAACAATTGTAAGTAAATGACCAAAATTAGTTTTATCATATTATCAATACTATTAAAAGGGAATGAATCATATATAAAAAGTCTACTTATACAAGTTGTTTGGACCTATTCATTATTCTTGGTCCTACCCTTATTTTTCTCTAACTATACAATATTTTAATGAAATCATTAATTTCTTCTCATTGTTTAGGAAATTGAATATAAAACCATATTTATGAATATAAAAACAGACTCTATGAATTCGGTAATGGATCTTTTTTATTTTATAAATTAACTTTTCGTAAAAAACTTTTTATCGTATTCTTTGAAAATAAAATTTTCACAAAATAGTATTGCATTCTAATACAGTATTACATAATAATAGAAATGACATTATTTAATTCTATGTAGTTATATAAAACATAGGTTTCTAAGATCAACCTTTATCATAACATATATATTTATATAAGTTTGTAAACAAGTGTTTGAGTACGATTTACAACATCTGAAATATTCTTTTTATACAAACTTACACCAATATATAGCCATTCTTTTATATATATATTCAGTAATATTCTAAAAAAATACATTATTGATAAGTGCTAACCTATTTTACCAGCTACAAACTCATATCATGTAAACCAAATATTATTATTAATAAAAGTTGATGATGAAATTTAATAATGTATATACAGTGTATATATAATCTTAACTGACTTTTTAGAATGTATATATAAGCTTATTAGAATTGCAAAATCCTATATTTATATCAAACCAATATTTCATATCAAAAAGCTAATTAAATATAAATTTTAAACACTTGAGTAAATAAAAAATCTTAAATTTAAAAGTATATTAGAAGTTTCATTCATCTCTTAAAATATTTAAGATTATTTGTTTTTTTTACCAGGTCAACCAAATGCCGGGTCACACTTAATTGCGGATTTTTTCAAAGTTTGCATGCTTTAAATTAACGAATTTTCACTAAATCTAAACCAGTTTATGTACAAATCATCGTGTTTACCGGTTTGATCACATATCCAAACTTGATATAAAATTATTGTTCTCATATAGTTTTAATATTATTTTAAAATAATAGACATGCCGAGTCTGATCTAACCATATAATTTTAAAAAATAATAATCAAAAAATTAAAAATATAATTACATTAACTAACTAAATAAAAATAATAATTTTTTCTGATATAATATGATTTTGTAACATAATAATATAATAAGATTAAATATTAATTCATATCATATATTTTTATCAACCGAGAAGTAATCCGTGCTTTTAAGCGCGGATCAAGATCTAGTATTTGGCTTATTTGTCAAGTAGTCTAGAAAAAAGAGAACTTAAATTTGTAAAGAGAAATAAAAAGATAAAATAAGATAGAGGAGTGATTTTTCATAGCTAATGTATTTTTATTGTATTTTTGTACTAGGTGTTTTGTCCGCACGTGCGGGCATATTAATTTTACAAATATTTTAAAGTGAATACACTATCAGTTGAAATAAAATTAAAATAAATTAATGTTCATACATTTAAAATATTAATAAAAATTAAATAATAAATCATTTATATATAAGTTTTTTTATCGTAACATGAATATTTTTTTTGTCACGTAACATAAACTAAAAAATACTAATGCTTTTGAAATATTTTGTAATAAAATAAATATTAAGTTTTTAAAGATGACCAAATTTTTCAATATAATAAAATTATCTTTTATTGCATAAAATAAATTTGAAAACCTTAGTATATGAATTAATATTATATACAATATATGTAGATATTTATCTTTTAT